CATTATTGGATGTAACAAACATCCTTAAAAAAAAGGTTGTTTGAGATTAAAACTCCAAAATCTTCTGAAGAACTTGGAGGTCAGCCTGTTTGGGAACGTTCCCTCGTCCAAGGTGAATCTGACCAACAGCAGGTTTTAATGTTCGCTTAAATCTTACATTATCTTCACCCCAATCAAACACTACTATGTGCATCTCTGTGACGGTGTTTTGTGTTTGTGTGGGCGTTTTATTCTCTCACTCCACCCGAAGGCTACGGATGCAGCTCCACCCAAAGAATGCAGAGCCACAACTTCACTTCTGTTTCGAGGTAAGATGTAGTTTAAAAGTTTAAAAAGTCACTTATTTGCTATTTCTGCCAACCGCAGCAGGTTTTTTTTTTCCTCCTTCCCTCGTCTTGACACACTCGAGCGGTATTAATTAACTGGTGTGGTTCAGCAGCCACCAGGAGAGCACCTGCACCCACAGGCGCCTTCGGCAGGGCTCTGCGTGGGTTCCCTCGTTCGGCGAGATAACAACCACCGACACCGACCGTCTAATCCGGCGACACCGGGGCGTCACCGTAAACAAAACAACGTACAACTTTTGGACAGAACTCGTCATCCGTGGCGTGTCTCCTGCAGCTGACATGTGGCTCTTCGGCTGCTTGGAGCGCCAGATGGGCCAGGCAGAACCAATCCATCACCGTGGAACTAAAATATTCAGGACTAGAGGAAGTGCCTCGCAGAGCCGAGAACTCGCAGCGAAATTCACAGGACGGGATCGCGCAGGAAGAAGTGAAGGGGAAGTGACAGATTGCTGTAACAGACAGAAGCAGGGGTTAGAAACAGACAAACAAGCAAACCGGGAGGGGGTGAAGAAAAAAAAAAAAAACTGCTAGCCAGAAAACACAATCGGTGGGAAAAGACAAACAGATGTAGAGATAGGAGGGAGGAGAGGGAAAAAAAAGAAATGTCATCTCCAGAGAGACAGTGGCAAAGACAAGGAAGCAATTTAGCAGTAAGCACATAATCCACAGACAGTCTCCACACAGTCGGTTAGAAAACACTTGTTTTCTTCACCATCATTTCACAACAACAGGATTCTACACACAGCATTAAAACAAATTATCCAAACTATTTGATTTGGAGGTGAAAGCCAACACGAGTGCATCTACAATTTTGGTAATAATCCCTCATTAGATGAGAAGAACTGCATCAAAGTTGGTCTGGAAATTACATCAGATGGTTCTTTTTCTCCTCTAAATTCAAATTTGAACATCCGACTGATCGACTGTGGCTTCTTCTTTTTTAGAGGTTGTAAATAACAGCCGAGAATAATGCTTTAAAATGTCAGATTTTAAGCTTTTGTGAGCTTTTGTGTCCTCGCTGCTGCTTGTCAGACCTGTGAAGAGATGCTGCTGCAGAAAGAAGAACATTTTGAAATCAGTCGTTTTTCTACATTAATTTTGTGTGTGTGCTCTGCAGTGATATGAATTCTGAACCCAGGTCGCTCTCAAACGCTCTCGCGCTCTCTTTGTAGCGCTGCTAATTGGCTAACCCCACACAGACACATGCATGTGATTATTCCTGTGTATATGTATATGTGTGGGTGAGTCTTTGGCTTTTCAGGATCGCCCTCCACAGACACAGAGGAGGGACGAGCAGCTGTTGTTGTGCCCGTCCATTATGCATCCTGGATGTCCTCTCGCACACATCAAAGAGCTCCGAGCCAGACCTGAAGCTGGCACAGGTGCAGAATAACACAAGGCGGGCCTCTAAACACCTGACAAGGAGCAGCGTTTAAGATGCTGCGCGGTAATGGGATGCTGGGGGAGTCTGAACCACAATGAAAATCCACCGAAACGAGTCAAACCTCTCGCTGTCATGAGAAACGAGTGGAAGATTTGTGAGTTATACATCGCTGCACATGTGGCTAAATGACGTCCAGACATGTAGATTTATTCAGATGTGTGAGATCCCGCTGGCCACACGTGGAGCCGTTGCTTTAACCAGAAATGACACCTGAAGGCCTCGGCGACCTCGTATCAGCGGCTGTATGGAGTCAATCAGTCGGTCCGAGGCGAACCAAACTCAGGAGCAATTTCCTACAATCATGACATTGTTATGTGAAATTATTTTTTACGGCTATGGAAAAAAGGGTGACCTTGGGGTGCCAGAATTCGGCTTGTTTCCAGGTGGCACGACTTCCCAAGACCTGGTTTTAATAAAGCCTCGCTGATTTGGGGAGATTTCTGATTTCGGCTTTAACCCTCAGAACCCCCATGAAAGGCACGTTGTCACCAAAATTACACCATTTATCATTTATCAGAGCCGGAAACGGTAAAAACAGGAAAATTCAACAGATTGTCAACTTTCTAAATGTCCCAGAACTGATTGTGTGTGATGTGAGGTTTTATTGGGAAAATTACACAAATCTAAGCGTAAAATCACATCTAATTAAAATCACTTTATTCCATATGTCTGTGATTTAAAATTAGCAGAAAAAAGGAAATATTTTAATCACCCAGATTCTGTTAAAAATAAAAAATAAAACTAAAAAGTCTGAACTACTTGGCTCAACAGAGAAGCTGATCGTAAACCAGCTGTGAGAAACAGTCATTCAGTGACTTTATTTGGCTGAACTCGGCTGAGCTGCAGGCAGTGCTTCATAAAAATGTCAATTTAATGTTTAAAAAACAAACATTTTTGTGTGTTTTGTGTTTTTTGGCAGGACTGGTAACACCTGTTGGCACTTGGGCATATATTGGACACACTGATTCAAGATTTCTTTCCTTTTTTTTTGCAGAATAATAATTATTTTTCTCATTTTTTTAATGATTTATGGCATTATAACCGTGTAATGATCTAGCCGTGGTTGTATTGTTTCCGTAGAGGTGCAGAACTTTATGAAAAATGAGCCTACAGTAAAATTATGATTTAAAAAACCACCCAGGAACTGTTTCAAGATCAGACGGTTGCACCTCAACATGCAGTTCAAATGCTTCTTAAGATTATTAATTTCTGTTTGTCGAACTGTTTCAATAGTCTGTATGTGCAGAAAAATGAACTCTGCTGGAGCTTCACACATATTGTTTGTGCTGTGCTGCCCTCTGCTGGTGACTAAATCTACATATGAGTGTGTGAGGTCAGATTATGCATGAT